TAACCTTGGCTATAGGGCAGAAACAACATACCTCATAGTCACCTTCCTTTGAAAAATGGACCCAGCCACCTGGCCACCTCCCCACACTGATTGCCCTCCCACTGCCTTCCCAGAACAGTGCAGTTGTTTCATGTCCCCCTGGAAAGTTAGTAAAAGCCAGTTATCCATTCTAGTCAACACCATCAGCAAACCCAAAAGTGCTACAGGAAGTATAAACCATCTAATTCCCCAGCCGCGTGATCTTCTCGTCGCCACCCTCCCAGACCCCTGCAGAAGCCTTCGGAATTTCTTAGAAGCCAGAACACAACCCACCAGATGATGCAAAGAGGATGCTGAGGTTTGAGATGTCTTCTCTTGCAGCTCAAACTTTAGAGTTCTGTTTAACACCTTTGAGCCTGTTTCTCACCATCTGAGTCAAGGCCGTTTTCTCCTCTCAGTGGGGTGGGAAGATAAAAATGCATCTCATGTTACCAGAATCCCGTTTCGTTAATCTAGAATCTCAGGTCATTTATTTAAGGCCAGAGACCTTGGTAGCTTTCTGAGTCTTTCACCTACCTTCTCTTTCCATCAGGCACAACTTCTAGAACCTTCTCTTCCAGAAAATGTGTACCAAGTTCCATTCCACAGACTGTAAATGATGTTAGGGTGGAGTGAAACGAAGAGATCTTTGTCCGGAGATATATTGAGACACCCATGGATGCCCACCCAATCCTCTCCATCTCCTTTGCAAAGATTCTTGTCTTGCATATGATATCTTAAATGTGTGGACACGTTCAGAGTTCAATATCACCAAGCGTGTCTCTTATGAAATCACATTGTCTTTGAAGTGGTTCACCCGCAGAAAGTCAGGGCTACAACGTAAGAACCAAGCTCTGTCCCTTCTGTGATGAGCAGCTGGAGGGGGGGAATTCCCTCAGCAGTTCACATTCACGTAAAATGAGACTGTCCTGAGACAACACTGGGTTAAACATCACCTTATTTAATTATACTTCAGGATTAAAAAAAACAAAACACAAAAACAGGCCTCAAAATGGCATCATGCCAGGCTGTGAATATAATGAGCACAGAGTATATTCAATATTTCCTGGGAACATTTATAGAGAATCTGGCCCATGCCAATATCTTTCATATGGATTACTTCATATATTTTAAAAAAAATAAACAATAAAAGAGGCATGTGAGAAAATGTTTTAAAGACTACAAAAATGTAATATGATCTTTTCATTATTTTTAATGTCTCAGAATGAGATTTAACTGACTATATGCTTGTAATTTTTCTACTGGCTGTGCTCGAAGCGGTGTTTGCTCGCCACTTGTCAAACAATCACCCCTCACCCTGGCCAGTGTGGCTCCGGTGTTTGAGCATCACCCCATGCACCAAAGCATCATCAGTCCAATTCCTGGTGGGGACACATGCTCAGGTTTTGGGGTTCAATTGATCAATGTTACTCTCTCACTCTCTCTTTCTCTCTGTCAATAAAAACACATATTTTTTTAAAAGCCTCCCAGTTCTGATTTTTTAAAAAACCACGCCTCCTCCATAACTCTCTAAAGCCTTACCTGGTTTAACTGTTCTTCATAGCACTTCCTACCATATATCTTAGATATTTTTTGCTCTTTCTTTATTGTATATTCACCATTTCTCCATTAAAATACAACTCTACAGGGGGCTTTATATTTCAATGTATCCACAATACATAGGGCAGTTTCAGGTACGTGGCAAACACTTGTTGAATGAATGAATGAATGAATGAATGAATGGGCTTTTGCTTCAAGTAGTAGGATTTGAGGTGACACATTTAAATAGGTAATTGTGGTGAATTTGGAGGATGATAGCGATGTCTAATACTCAGCCTTAGGTGTAATTATACTGCGTAACTGTATAATTATACTGTCTAAGGTAACCTCTCTCCATTACCTTCAAACCTTCAGTAGAATTGCCTGTACCCAGCATCCTGTGGGAGAGGTGCCCTGAGGGAAATGAGCTGACAGGAGCCTGGAAGCACAGTCACTGCCAGGTCCCCGTGACAGCAGACACTAGAATGTGGACCTCCCAAAGGTTGAGTTTCCTCCCTGAAGGTTGCAAAGAACTCTGGGCTTCCCACAGAATGTAAGATGGAGGTCCATGTCATTCTGTTAAGAAATAGAAGAAAAGGTGACTCCATTGAGCAGATAGAGTGGGAGAGGAGGGACATCTGAATTCTACTTTTCTCTGAAAAATGTACCAGCTAGAGTGATGGAGAGGTGTCTCTATAAAAGGAAAGCTTTGACCTCATTGCGGTATTGCTTTCCGACCTTCAGGAGCAGAATACCCACTTAGCTGTCTTATTCCCATGGCCAGTTAGTTTCTTGATGAGTTCCAAAGGTCCTGAGCTACCATCAATAATTACATTATTTCTGAATCAGGTTCATTTCTGACTCAGACATGAGTCTGAAGACCTAAGGATGGGGTTTTGATTCTGCTTCCCTAGGAATGCCTCTTCTGCCTGTGCATAATCCAAAACCCTAGGGAAAAAGAAACAACAAAACACAGAAAGGAAAAAAAAAAAAAAATCATGATCTCTCTAACTTCAGAACTTAACCAGACTCCTTTGAAAAAAATGCAATTTGACATCAGGTGACACGACTTCTTAGCTTAGGACCAGGCTTAACTCCCTAAGGAAATTTTTCTTTTTAGAAGATGTGTGTGTGTGTGTGTGTGTTTTTCCAATTACAGTTGATGTTCAATGTTATCTTATATTAGTTCCAGGTGTATGACCTAGTGGTTGGACAAGAGTCCAGCTTGGAGGAGCCAGGTTTCTCTCTCCAATCCCCCTCTCTCAAAGAGCTGCTGTTTCAGATCAGTCACTCTTGCAGCGACATCTCCAGAAGAGCTCTTTTCCTGTTTAGTTGTGGTAAGTCAAAACCTACTTCAGAGAATGCAAAGTCACCGTGATGGGGGGCTTCAGTTGTCTGAAAGAAAAGAAAACCTCAAACTACTGAACCAGAAGTGACTTTTTTTTTTTTTTAAGCTGTTCTTTGGGTTTAGCATTACATAAAGAAACCATGGCCGAAACTGGTTTGGCTCAGTGGATAGAGTGTCGGCCTGCAGACTGAAAGATCCCAGTCAAGGGCATGTACCTTGGTTGCTGGCACATACCCTGTAGAGGGTGTGCAAGAGGCAGCTGATCAATGATTCTCTCTCATCGATGTTTCTAACTCTCTATCCCTCTCTCTTCCTCTCTGTAAAAAATCAATTAAAAATCTATTTTTTTTAAAGGAAAAAGAAAGAAACCATGGCCGATTCCATTTTTAATGAGCATATTCAAACGTTTCAAGATTTTGACATCCTGTCTATTTCTACCGAGGTAAAAAAAAGTAAGTCAGGATCCTAAAGAAGCTGTTAACCTCTCTTCCGTAGAACCAGAACTTAAAGCATGGTGAGGTACACACCTGTCTCCAGAAAACGTCAAAGGCATTGAGCAGGGCAGAGATAAAGGTTATAAAAGTGGCAACACCAGTATGACGAGCTGATGGCACATCACACCAGCTCATCTCAGGGGGCAGAAATGGGGCCACAGGATAGGGTGAGGAGGGAACTTCTTTCCTCCTATCTTTGCATATCCTTTTAATTTTGTATAGTGAGCATACATTGCCTATTCAAATCCATCCAAAGAAGAAAACAAATTAGTGATGGGTACATAATTGATTGGCTGACTTCAGTAGATGAGTGATAAAAAATAAAATGAAACCAGTCTGTTTGTGTTATTTTTCTCCTGCAACATCCAGCTGCTAGGATGCCAGCATAGAGAAAATAGGATTTTCCCAAGAGGATTACAGTGAAGGAAACAGAATATTGGGGGTTGAGGGTCTATCCAAGATAGTGATTGTAATGACAGATGATAGAATATCAGCCAGACAGAGAGGAGTGAAAATAAAGAAGCTGATGGTTATGCAAGAAAATAATAGAGCTCATTAGTTAGAGGTCTCAATATGGTAAATATATATATTATATATATATATATATATATATATATATATATACACACACACACACACACACACACACACACACATATATATATATGTATACACACACACACAAGGCACAAATTTCGTACATAAGATGCACGAAATTTGTGCCAAGAGTAGACCTTCCTTCCCCCAGCTGCCAACACCAACTTTCTTCTGGTACCAGGGACCCAGACTTCCCTTGCAGCCCTGGCTTCATCAGGAAAGTTGTCCAGAAGGACGTCTGGTCTAATTAGCATATTATACTTTTATTATTATAGATATAGATAGATAGATAAAATGTTGAAGCAACTAAACTTGAATAATAGATTTGTGAAAATAAAATGCCTGAAATAAAATTTCAAAGGAGGTATAGTAATGTTTAACAATGACAGTCTAGAGAAGGCCATGGTAGTGGCTGAAGACAATAGGAGAAGGAAATTGGGAGTGATCTAAGTGAAAATGCAAGAACCCAGGTGTTTAGATGGATCTCTCAAGAGCAGTGACTTCTGGAGAACAAAGTGTCTCTCACAGAGTAGCTTATAAATAATGGCACATACCTTTTTTTTTTTTTTTTACATTCTACTATGTGTCAGATACTTTATGTATATATTGGCCCTTTTCTGTCTATGAGAGGTCAAGGGGCCTGCACAGTGAATACATAGCTAATAAGTGAAGGAATGAAGATTCAAACTCAGGTTATTTTAGCCCAAAGCCTGTGCCCTTTCCACTATGCCCACAGGAAAAGACAAGTTGTCATCAAACCTATGGAAAGTTGGGTGAGCTTAACCCTGGCAATAATAATAGCAATGGAAACTTTGAATAATGGGAGAGAGAGAGGGAAGAAAATACAGAGAGGGGACGAGAACCTGGCAAAGTCCTTCTCACCTAGTAAATTCTCCTTAAAGTGGTCGTAAGTCATAGTGAATTAAGAGGCCATGAAGAAATAAATACTAAGGAAAAAAGCAAAATCTTTTTGACTTCTAAAAAGTACATCCATATTGCTTATCTGTATTCTAAAATATAGTTTTTATTACATGTATTCTTTTCATTTAAAATGCACAATATATAGATATATATATAAATATTGGTTATATTATAGGAAAAAAGCATCACTAGGTATTGTCATAATCCAAGATTAGAGGACTGTCAGAGTTGGTTGCCAAGAAGCATTTGAAACCAATACCATATGTATCCCCTAATTTCCTAACATGTTCTTCCTATTTAGGTAGCTTTCCCAATCTCTCTCTCTCTCACTCACTCACTCACACATACACACACACACACACACACACACACACACACCTACAATTGCTCTGGAAACATACATGCTGTGTAGGGAATGGACTGCATCCCCCAAAGATATCCCTAGCTTTTCTGTTTCCATCACCTGGCAGCTGAGGCTATGGCTTTGGAAGGAAAAATGCTGCCACTGGGACACCAGCCTTTCAGTCTCTTGAGCTTATCATGCAAGCCTAGTCCCTTTTTCCATCCCTTGTACCTGAAAGACAGCCTCCTCTGAGGTAGACAGTAGACCCACCGCAGGAGGTGAGTTATAAGGTGTCCTTTGCAATGTGCCCAAACACGCTTGGCCTCTGCAGCTGAATGTAGACCACCCTGGTAGCTGCTTTGCCCCATTTTGCATGTGGACATGCAGCCCAGAGTGCTATGTTCATCAGCTTTCTTCCTCCTCCTGTCTGGCTCATGGATGTTGGGAGTGAGATGAGGAACCATAGACCTGCTGGACTCTGTGGCCTCAGAACCCTCTTGGTTTATGTCTTCTCACCTGACCTCAAGTGGGCTTTAGAAGACCCTCTTTCAAGACAGCATTCTCAGCGCCTGTATCAAGGAGCCATGATGGAGAGAATCCCAAAGTGCTTTTCTTAGAGCTTATATAAGCCAAAAAATGTTTTAGACTCTTCAAAATTGACCAGAGAGTACTCAGACACATTAACATATAAGTGGTCAGCACTGGTGAGATTGAACACCGCACCCAGGTAGCTGCTACGGGCCCACATCTGGCCGATGGTGCAGTAGTCCATCATCTTCTCCTCCATCAGCACCAGGTCCTTGGGATACTGCAGGTTCCTCATATAGACCTTGTGGTTCAGGGGCTGTTTCTTGCAGGACTGACCCCGGAAGTATATTTTGGAATACACGAAGTACAGCCCAGTGTCATTGATCACTAGGCTGCTCTTCTTATACTTCACCCCAGAGATCAGGGCAATTCCATAGGTGTCTTCCCATTCCAGAGGAATGGATCTTGAGTCGGGCTTGCCTAAAACCAAGTCAGAGAGGAGCTTTTAGCCAGAGATGCCCATGCACCCTACAAACTAAGCTTCCAAGGCAAAACTATGGACCTGTATTTCCTGGAGCAAGAGGGTTTTTTTGTTTGTTTGTTTGTGGGTTTGTTTGTTTGTTTGTGTGTGTGTGTGTGTGTGTGTGTGTGTTGTGTGTGTGTGTGTGTGTGTGTGTGTGTGTGTGTGTGTGTTTTAACCAAAATGACATAGCCCCCATAGAGCTGGCCAACAGGTCAGACTCACCCATCACTAAATTCCTCCTTAGACACACAATGGGACAATAATATGTAATCTTAACCAATTGTAGTAAGAAGTTAATGAGAGGAGCTTGGCTCTCTGGACACATGTTCTATGATCTTCAGAAATAGAAGGTTAGGCTCTAGGGTCCTTTCATGAGGGAAAAAGCCAAATCAAAGGAACTCTACAGATCTAAAGTTGGAAAGGACCTTAGAGACCCAACTTCTCACCTGCAGTCCCCCTCTTTGGGCTGAAGCCCCCTTTCCTCTGTGTCCCCACAACATCATGCACACGCCTTACGCAGAGAACGCTCTCCAGTATTGAAGTGATGACCTGTGTATCCATTTCCCTATTGTATTTTAGGCTTCTTGAAGGCAGGAAGCATGTATTGTTTCTTTCTCACCACGTCCCGAAGGCTCGGCACATACACAGGTGCCTGCTCTATAAAAGCCTGCTCCTGGGCTGGATCATTCTGCCTAAATAATCCCAGGGACAGAGGCACACACGGTCTGTGATACTCATTCACTTCTCGGGTGTGTATGACCTTCCCACAGGGACTGCCCCTCCCACATCACTATCAATCATTTCACTCCACAACACAACCACAGACTGGAAGCCCACCTGTGCCAGGCCTGGGCCTCTCCTCCACTGATCACCTCCCTCAAAACACAGCAATGCTGTTCTACTTTCTGCCTCTTTCACCTTCCCGATACACACCTGTCAAATGGGCCACTTTCCTCTGTTCCCCTTTTCCAGAGGCTGGATTGGAGTGATCTGTATCGTAGAGAGATGAGATATAGAGGTAAAAATGAGATGTTGACTATTCTTTTGGTGGAATTCTAAACAGGGCATTTAAATAAAAGAGATTTTTTAAAAAAGCATAAATAGCAACAGTAGGACACATATTAATGCAAATCCAAACTGTGGAATTCATCATCCCTGTATTACAGACTCGGAGAGGTAAAAAACAAACCAAAATTAAGGCAGACATAGGCGTGTTATACTGTTACAATAAAATGACATTCATTAACAATTTTATTCACTCGTTAGAAGCTGTCATATCAGTTACTGCAGTTAGAACGTGCCACAACCCTTTCAGGCAGAGATCCCAGCCCCACCTCGCAGCAGATGACAAAATGAGCTTAGAAGTTGGGTGGCTTGTCCAAGAAGCCCCGGCGACTCAGGGTCAGAGTGGGACTGACACTGGGGAATCCTGACTCCCAATCCAGGACTCTTTCTGCTCTGGCTTTACTGTTCCTAAGACTCAGCAGGCCAGAGGATGGAGAGCACTACTAATTCCCCTCCTGGCTGCTAGGTGTTCCCCCAAAAAGCATCCTATAACCTGCCCTAAATGAATTATCCTAAGGTTCAAAGAGCTTGAATGGGTTCATAGAACGTACAATTGTGTATGGTTCCCCTAGGCCTCCTGATATGACCTGAACATGCCCAGCTCTCTGTCTCTGTGCCTTCGCTCATGTTGTTTCTTCTACCCAGAATGCCCTTCCAAACAGATCTCTATGTTAAGTTGCTATCAACCCTATAAATACCATAGAAAATACCTCTTTCTTTGGGGTACCCTCCCAAGCCTTTTTAATCAAATAGGATTTTCCCCTCCCATAATCATGCTGTCTTCACCTCTCTTATCAACTTGGACACCCACCCCTTTTCTGTGAAAACCTTGTAACTCGTCTAACTCTCTCAAATAAATGGTAAACTCCTTATGACAGGTCTAATCCACCAGAGTACTCAGCTCAGTTTCTAACACAGGGCATGGTGACCAGTAAATGATTGCTAAGTTAAATTGAGAAGTTAAAATAAAGAACAGATCTCAAAACAAGACACTACTTCTCTAATTTCAAATATTTAACTGAATAGAGCTATAGAGCTACCACATGAATTGAGCTAAGACACTGGAGAGTCTTAGAAAGGTGCATGACAAGGCCCTAACAACTGAGAAGGTTGCCTGAGCTCCCACTACCTCTGCAGCCACCCAAGATTACCCAATATGAATGAGGTGCTAGTGAACAGGAAAGGCAAAGCTGACTCTTGCCTGTATTCCTGAACCACAAGCCATCTGTGCAGCTGATCTGGCTTTAGGCCATGTTCTGACAGGAAATGGTGCATATCTTTATAGCCCTCAGGGAGCCTTGTATGGTAAGTTCTCATAGAAAGCATTCAGCAAGATTACCTGCTGGACGAATAATGGAACAAGGAAACTAGATATATATCCCATACTTTGGTGATGACTGTTTCCTGCCCCAGGATCTTTACACGTAGTTCTCACTGCTGAAACGCTTTCCCTTATCCTTTCACTGCACTACACACACACACTCTCTCTCTCACTCACAATCACAAGACCTCCTCGGGACTTTCCAGATCACTCTGCCTTAGGCACACTCAGCACACTTTGGAAAGATATGGTTTATTTGCCCGCTTTGGTTTAGCTTCTCGGGCTTGCTTCAAGCTCCATGAGGGTAGGCCCCTCATCTCTCATGTTCTCAGTGATCACCCCCGACCCAGCACCATAGGAAGCACATAGGAAGCACCCCAAGAACATTTGTGAATGAATAAAAGAGGTAATGAATAACTGTGGCAAAATGGAAAATGAAAAAGAAGGACATAAGGAAGCTTAGTGCCGCCCAGCAGGAATCAGTTACCATGCTAAAATATAAATTCTTCCAGTTCTTTGCTGAGAACATAAAGATATAAAAATATGCATATATGTAGCCAATATTAAACTAACTTGTGTTTTTACCTAACACTATAAACTGCACACTCTCCATGGCATTAAGTGTCCTTCTAATATATGATTTTTAGCTGCTGTTTATTATGCTGTCATCTCAATATACCATGGTGTATTCAACTAATCTCCTATTAAGAGGCATTTACATTTCTCTTGAATTATTTATTACAAATAGCCTTCTAAAGAAGTGATGAACATCCTTGTACAGTTCTCACTGTTTTCTAAAGATAAATTCTTTGTGATAAGACTACAAGGTAAATTAACAATTTTGATCCTTTGATATATGTTTCTAAACTGCTCTTCAGAAAAGGGATAGTAATTTATAGGCTGCTGGCTGTCCATCATGTTTAAGCAGCCCCTTTCTCTCATTGCTTCCCAGCTGGCTTTTTTTAACTTTTCTTAATTTGATGGATGAAAATGGGTATCTCTTGTTTTAATTTGCATCTCTTATTAGTAAAGTTGCTCATTTGATTTCCATGTGATAATTAACCAATTTTGGTCCATCTGGGTTGATCTGGAGAAGATGATTGTTTTGGGGTTGGCAGACCTGACTCATCTGCTTGCTTGACTGTTAATCACTAAAACCACTCCAGGGAGTGAGGAAAAGGTGAGTAATTAGGTACCTGTTTCACCAGCAACATTCCACTAATTTTCAAATCTATGTCATTTTTTTTAGACATAGAGGCTTTGTTTTTTCTAGCAAATATTTCAACACTGCTTGTGCCCATCTGGACTTTCTTACCCTCAGGGACTTGGACCCAGAGCTGGGGACCGGAGCCTCCTGAGGTTGGCTCCTACATTCCAGGCAGTAGGTGATTTGGATCAACTGAGCGGGCACTTTCTGAGGAATGGGGTCCCCTTACTGACTGGCCAGTGCTGCCTTATGTTTCTTCCCAATTTCTAATAAGATTTACTTACTGTCTTCCCAGAGGCATCTTTCTTGCCATCTTTATTTCTTATTTCATAATCATCACAGAGAGATGGGTGTTGCCTTATTTCACGAGGTATCAGTCCATATACTGGAAAGCCCTGTAGTTCCACACCAGTGGTTTGGGGCACGTGACCTAATCTGCCTGGTGTTTTGTCCCTCTTCTGAAAAATGAGATGCCTGGACCAGATGCTGTCTTAGCTCCCTTCCTATTCTTATCATATCTAAAGGTTCATAAACCCTAGGCTCACCTATCTGCCTTAAATCTGTCTGTCCACAGTTTCCAAAACTATGTCCTGAAAGGTGATGAGAAATGTTCAACATTTCTCCTTCCTCCTGTCCTGGATCTCACACAAAGGATTTTCCTTTATTATTATTTTTAAAAATATGTTTTTACTGATTTCAGAGAGAGAAAGGGAGAGAGAGAGAGAGAGAAACATCAATGATGAGAGAGAATCATTGATTGGCTGCCTCCTGCACACCCCACACTGGAGATTGAGCCTGCAACTCGGTCATGTGCCCGGACGAGGAACCGAACCAAGAACTCCTGATTCATAGTTTGACACTTAACCACGGAGCCGTGCCAGCCAGGCCTTTCCTTTATCATTGAAGTGAGTTCACAATGACCTCTGTGGTTGAAGCTGGACCACCCTTTGAATAATGGCTGACATCTTCCCCCAATCTTTCTAGTGATTGCAAAAGAATCACCCTAATGTAGATGATTGGTTTCCCACTTTTAAAAGCTTCAGTACATCCTATGAAATGCTTTAACTAAAGCTTGACTGTTGATTAATCTCTTAGGTAATTTAAAGAGAAGACCTTTCCTAGAAACATATCTCTCTCTCTCTCTCTCTCTCTCTCTCTCTCTCTCTCCTTCTTCACCTCCCCCCACCACCTCTCTGGGGAGTTACAGCCACCACCCTGTGCCTGGGGCCCAGGAGGCCTGAGGCAGGAGACTGCCCTGGAGCCAGCTGCTCAGGGGGCAAAGATCCAGGGTTGAAAAGGTGTGTGTCTCTTCCCAAAGTCAAGTAGAAGTTATTTTTAATTGTGTGCAGTTCTCAGATAGACTTATTTTGAATAACTAACTTGACTTCATAGTTGAAGGCAGCTCAAGGAACCAAAAGGACCAGAGATTCAGAGTCAGCCAGGATTCCTATTGCAGTAAAATGTGTCCGAGAATGGATGCAATTCACAGCCTTCCACCCACAGGGCCAGCTCTGAGGACCATCTTGAGAAACTCAATGTGCATGTAGAAAAGGACTCACCCACTTGCTTCTCCAAAGATGATTCCATATGCCTTTGGCTGGAATACTGACAAAGAGAAAGAGAAAATTCATATAATAAATATAAAGTTCTCTAAGCAAAGGAGGCAGAATTGCTAAATATACCAGGCTCGGAGAAGGCATCTACACACCTCACAGCCTCTCGTACCTCGGACTTTGGCCGAGCAGCTGTGTCTCCCTGTGCCTCAGCTGTGTGATTTAGCATACTTCTGATATTTTAAACTCTTTTAAAAATTTTTTTTTTTTAGTTTGGCCATTTGCACAAATTCACTTCTAATTGATACTCAGCGCTCCTTTTCCTGAGTCACTAAGGTCGTGGCTCACCAGGCTGCCTTGCTATCTCAGGAAGGAAGAATGTAGCTGCAGCCTCTCATGACCCTTTCTTTACATGATAAAAAATATTCCTTTTGCCGGGACCGGTTTAGCTCAATGGATAGAGCGTCGGCTTGGGGACTGAAGGGACCCAGGTTCGATTCCGGTCAAGGGCATGTACCTTGGTTGCGGGCATATCCCCAGTAGGGGTGTGCAAGAGGCGACTGATTGATGACTCTCTCTCATCGATGTTTCTAACTTTCTATCTCTATCCCTTCCTCTCTGTACAAAATCAATAAAATATATTTTAAAAAATCAATAAAATATTTTTAAAAAATATTCCTTTTACTTATATGAGCCCCCAGTTCTCTGTCTGTAGCATAGAATGGCTAAGATGATCCACCTCGAGGGCGGGGATAAAGGGCGGAAGAGCACTTTGCAAGGAAGACCGTGGTCCGCGTGTGGACCAGGGCAGCCTGACACCGTCCACCGCGCGGAGCTGTCTCAGCCCAGCACTCGGGCCCCAGCAAGCCCAGCACTTACCTCTCTGAGCTCGGCCAGCTCCTTCTGCAAGTGGAACAGCTGAAACATCCCCAGCCCCAGCGCAACCAGGGCCACCAGGATCATGAAAAACATCACAAGGAGACACAGGCCTGGGTTGTGGTCCCTCTTCTTCAGAGGTGGCAGTGGCAGTGGAGGCAGGGGTGGCAGTGGCAGTGGTAGTGGTGGTGGTGGTGGTGGTGGTGGTGGCGGCGGCGGCGGTGGCCTCCTCTGACCAGGTCTTCTAGGCACCGAGGAGGGACAGGGGAGTACTGTCCCTGGAGGAGTCCAAGGGGAGGGGGCGCTGCTGTCCACCCAGTAGATTTGGGGGTACGGGTAGTTCAGGGGCTGCTGCATGGCAGCCACAGACTCGAGCCGCCCCCTGCAAAGGGCGTGCGTCCTTCTCAATCCCTGGAGTCCAGGTGTTACGGAGGGAGCATCTGCTGCTGACTGCTCGAGAGGAAGGAGTCGGCGCCTTCTTTATAGAGTTTCCATGGTCAAGGGCAACACCTCTCTTGTTCTCTCTCAGCTTCTCACAGAGACACCCACTCACTTTGCATCTGAAGCTGAGAACCCTCAGGAAGCTCAGCGCAAACCCCGGGAAGTTTCCACCCACAATTTTCTGATGAAAGCCCGCACTGCCCAATGGCTGCGCCCGAGAGGCTGGCGGGAGGCTGGGCGGGCCCTGCGAGCAGGTAGCACCAGGTGCAGGCCCGTGGCTTCAGCCACCGCCCAGCTGCGCGTGCAGTGGCCATGGGTGCAACCAGGCTCTGAGGGACACGGCGGTGGAGTTGTGGCGGGAAGCGTGGCTTTCACATCTTACCTTTTACATGAAAGTCTCATCCCCTGCTGCCATCGTCTCCCTGCACAAAGCCTTTGTACCCGACCTTCCAAAGCACCGTCATTTACAGTGAAACACCTGCCCCACCCACTGGCCAGAGAGTCCACCCGAGGTTGCAAACCAGGAGCCCATATGCCTTATGGAACCCACAGACCTGCTTTGCTTGTGCCTCACAATGGTTTTTTCTTTTCACTGGTTGTCCCTTTATCGAATGGGGAATACTTCATAATAAACATCTATTTTCTCTTCTGTTTTTGAACATTAGAATGTGGGACACCCTGAAGGCCATCTCTGCAAATGCAATCAGCAGGATCTGGGCACCAGCTGCCTTCCCACTCCCCCACCCTCACCCCCCACCCCATGAGACATATTCTTCAGGCTGCCCAGCCTGCACCCCTCCTCGCCATGGCCAATGCCTTCCTGGTCTCCGGAGGCGTTCCTGTTTGCTGGGGCTGTTATGGCTGGCAGGTGAAATGCAGGCTGCCCAGTTCAATTTGAATTTCAGATCAACAGTCAGTAATGTGTAGGGTAAATAGGTCCTAAATATCACATGGAATATATGTTTTAAAAAGTATTCATTGAGTATGTGAAATTCAAACTGAACTGATTGTCCTACTTATTTGTTTGTTTTTTAGTAAAGAGGGCAACTCTACCTGGACTGGCTCTACCTTTCCTCTGGCCTCAGGTACCACTTATGTGCCATTAACTTCCAAGTTCAGCTTTGATAACAGACTTCCTATAAACCATATAAACCTCCCACAATCTCTTACTTTCCATTCTACAGGAGGGCCCTGCTTTAGCTTCTCCATCATGCTTTGGCATTTCCATGACTATCATTCTGGCTCTCCCCCTGTACCAAACCAATGCCAAACCTGCCACATTCTGCCCTCCCACCCCTCCCTGTACAACCTGTATCACCCGAGGTCACTCTTTCTGGCGACAACGTCAACTCCTCTCTCCCTCTCTCCCAACATTTAACTAGTCACCCAGGACAACTGGTTTTCTCTGAGACCTGTCTCTCACATCACACCTTCTCCACTCCCGTTCTTCCTGCTGCTATTTTTGTTTTTAATCTCTCACCTGAAATACTGCCATGGCACCCTAACTGGTCACTCTGCCACCAGCTGTTCCCAAACCCAAGTCTGCCTGCAAAATGCTGCATGGAAGGTGTTTTAAAAAACAAATTTAGTTCACTCACTCCCTTGCCCAAACCTTCTGTTGAGAGGTTCAATTCCAGTGGTATATTCATCATGTAACAACTTTCTAAATAGAGTCTTGTTCTGGGCTCTTATTTCCATTTCATTGGTTTGTTTCTGTATCCCAGGACCAGGGCCACACAGTTTTCACAAACATGGTTTTGTAGAATGTTACAAGAGCTAGTTATGGCAAAGCTCCTCTTTTTCACTCACTCTTCTTTTTCAAATTGATTTGGCTACTTAATTATATTTATTCTCTCCTGAATGGATTAGGACAAAATAGTATCAAGTTCCTAAAATGTTCTAGAGCACTATTAACTGTAATTGTAGTAGTTTGGGGAAGGGTTATTTTTACAGTATTTTTTTCCTTTAGATTTTTCACGACCTTGTTTTCTCACTTAAGTAGGTAGATAGTCACCACTTGCTTTATGCTTTAATTTGATCTCTTGTGTCCAAGCGAGTGGCGACTTTGATATCCTTCTGTGGTCTGGATGGATGAGTTGGGGCATAAGCTATGAAGCATCATTCTTGTTCCTCCAAGTTACACTAGGTTGAGGGGTGAAACCAAGAGAGTGAGGATGATGGTGGCAATGGGGTCAAAATGATCCCTCAGCCCCACCCCTCAAAACAGGATGATCAGATCCAAGATACTCCTCTTCTTGCCCTGCCCCTGTGGATCACTGGGAGGCTGGTCAGGAAAGCAGAAGCCACTCCAAATATGAAGAGTAAGGAAAGGGTTAATACTGGGAGTGAAGGCTGCACAAGCAAAGGTCAGGGAGGTCACTGAAATGCAAAACCTCTCAAGTGGTGATTCTCAGGAGGATATGGCAAAGCTCAAGAAACACACCCTACCGCCTGTGTGGTCTCCCATGTGCCTTTCAGCAGCGGCCTTGAACAATGGCTCCTCCTCTTCCACCTTCCAATCTCATGCAATTGCCACCCCACTGACAGGACCCAATCAGGATCCCACTGGCCAGGGCACGTAGAAATGGTGATATAAAGGCTCCTGGGACAGGGAAAGCACTGGGCACTGACAAACTATATGTGGCACACTATCTGTCTTGTTCAAGGGTGCAATCTCAACCAATACACAGTGACTGAATAATCAAGGCAGAAGGGTCCCAGGTCAGGAACAGGACTGTTGGGGGAGTGGGGGATGGAAAATTCTTCCACAACCTCAGTCAGTGATGAGATGTGCCCCATCTCCTGACACTCTGCAGGTGCTGTGGCCTGCTGCTGACTTTAATATATTGTGGAAGCTTGACAACATTCACGTAGAAATCTGGCCATGTTGGTCTGCTGTGTCAAACAACACTCTTGCGGCTCACCATCACCTTGGGAATGGAATCTGAACTCTTCATCGTGACTTCTAAGCCTCTGCATGATCTGGGCTCTTCCTAACTCTACGACTTACCTCATTCTACCCTCTACCACACTGTGGCCACATGGGCCTTTCCGTTCAACCAAACGTGGCAAGCACTTGCCCACCTGAGGGCCTCTGCCTAAGATGCTGCGGTTCCACATCTAGACTGATGTTGGAGACACTCCATAAATATCTGCTGTTACTCAAATAAGTGATCATTTTGACCCCATTGCCACTGTCATCCTCACTCTCTTGATTTCACATGGTGTAACGGAGACACAAGAGCGATGCTGCATAGCTTATTTCCCAACTCATTCTTCCAGACTACACACATCCTCCAAAAGGTCCCACAACCTGTGTGCATTTCAGCCAAAATTCTAACCCTGAGAGACCACAGGATGAGAGTGATTACGAAGCAAGAATGCTCAGGGAACCCTGAGAGCAGCACCCCGGAGCCCACCAGCAGGGCAGCGAGGAAGTGGGGTGGGGTGTGAGACACACCCCAAACACCATCTTTTAAGACTGGAAATGCCTGATCTTGTGGGCTCTTTCATGAACCCCCTTCTTGATGTTTGAAACACTTCAATGCATAAACATGTGTCATGGTGGGTTTGTGGGAAAGCCAGATGCACCAAAGACAGGCTGAAATGTCAAAGTCGTTGTTCTAATCACCCACTGTTTCCTCTGAGTGTCTGGCAGATGTTGGTCAAGGCTGTGCAGCTGGATGCCTCGAGAGCTCCCCACCCTCGGGTCCCACAGCCATTGGCCAGCAGAAAGGGGACAGCCAGCCTCGGCCTGGTAAGTGAAGAGCGCTAGGCCGCACCTGTTTGTTATCTCACAAATGAGATACTTGCCCCTGAGCCTGGTTTGCAAACCAGCTGCAGCTGTCTCACCAGCCCAGAATCTCAACGCTAGAGTGCTGTGGTCACCCTATCATGGCTATTCCTCACCGATGAGGACCTGAGCTCCACAGCAGTAAGAGGAATCCCCGAAGCTCACAGCCGCTGTCTGGAATAGTCAGGAAGAACACCAGTCCTGTCTCCTCCTACTGCCCCTCCCCACACACGTGAAACACCTGGACATGCCCTGGCACACTCGCTGCCTCCCGGGGCAGGGGTGGACCCTGTCTGAGTCAGCCTCTGCTCTGCAGACACCTGGCCCAGGAGCACCGGACCCCACGGTGCATCCATCCTTGCACGCCTCACCTCACAGATGAAGGCGACTGCCCTGTGAAGAAAGGGGCACTCTTCCGGGGCCTGCTTGGGCTCCATTCCTCAAGGCAGGGATTCCAGGAAGGGAGCAAAAGGCATGCAGTTTCCTTCCCCTGGCAGCTCTGAATTAACTCACCGCATGGCTCCGCGTTTCCTCATCCCCGCACAGCAAATGCTTCTCTACACTCTACACCTGCACCTTGCCGCACGCATGCGTGCGCACACGTGTGTGTGTGTGTGTGTGTGTGTGTGTGTGTGTGTGACCTTCTGCAAAGGCCCCGCTCACTCTCCCTGGGCTCTGGCTAACAAGGCCGGAGGAAGGGCCTGGAGAGGGTTGGAGCAAAGAATAAGGACCCAGTAACTATGGTCCCTAAAGAGTCTGATCCCCCAACACACCTTCTGGTTCTATTTCAGCTTTTCAGCTCCCACTCCCCAGAGTGAGGCACAGGATGGGTGGGAAACTGCGGAAGCAGCAGGCGGCAGGAACCACTTCCTTTCACAGAGGTCTTGGGGTTGACGCTACGTGTCCTGGCTTCTCTGCTCAGAATCTCTTCTCCCACTTTACAGATGCACATTTTCTACATTCTCCACTTTTCACATTCTCCTGCACCTCCTGGTGGGAGAGATGCCTGTGTTCACAATCATGGGAGTGAGAACTGATATCAATCTTAACACAGGTCATCTGTTCATTCATTCATTCATTCATTCCCTCTGCACGTACCATGTGGCCCGGGTCAGGCAGGGACGCTGCCTTGGCTCTAGGCACAGTGTGATCATCCAGTGTAAACCACTCACTGTCCAGGAAGTCTGAGATAAAAGACCTTCCCCAACTCCACTGAGCACAGCATATCACTGCCTTCTTTTCTTTAAAATGTAAGCCTAGCCGAAACCGGTTTGGCTCAGTGGATAGAGCGTCGGTCTGCGGACTGGAGGGTCCCAGGTTCGATTCCGGTCAAGGGCCTGTACCTTGGTTGTGGGCACATCCCAGTAGGGGGCATGCAGGAGGCAGTTGGTAGATGTTTCTAGCTCTCTGTCCCTCTCCCTTCCTCTTTGTAAAAAATCAATAAAATATATTCACACACAAAAAAAGCAAGCCTATTTGAGTTTCTGACACTTGAAATGCACACAAACACTGGACACTTAACGGGAGCAGTTTCAGTGAAAGGGCAGGGGCCAATGTTTTGTTCCTGGCCTGGTGCCCGCCAGCCCCTAAGAAGAGGAAAGGTCAACCTCACCACATGGGGTGCCGGCTCTAACGAGGGTGCCAGTGGCAGAGCCCAGCTCACCCAGAGAAAAGAGCCCATCCTGGGCTGCATCTCCTCCCTCCACCCACCCAACCTCCCAGTGAGACTCAATGTGAGCATGAAACTGCTTTCGATGAGGTTTCGCCCCCTCTGACTCCCACAATGCTTTCCAGGTCCCCAGAAGGCAATTTTTAACGTAGATGCACCCAAAGAGGCCTGAATTGGGGTTCATCATCAGCCGTGTTTCCTCCATTCATCATAGATATCCGATCTCAAGTCCTTCCTCATCTCTGTGACCGCTGTCCCTGCCTGTGTGGACACTGGTCCTTTAACAAGAGGCAGCATTCATGACTGACTGCTGCTCCTAGCGTCTCAGGAGCCACCTTGATTTCTGGCAGCCTTTCCTCGCTGACGCCCTGTGGCCTGCCAGTCTCTCCTCCCCACGGGGAGCTGGAGAAAGGGGCACACTGCTGGCTAAGGAGCCCCACGAAGCCAGGAGCTACTCGGTCTGAGCACCAGGCACCACATACCCCTATGGGGATACAAGGGAACACGGAGACAACCGTCTTTCAGGCACTTCCACCGGCACCTATCAGCGGGTCTTGTTTGTAGCCCTCAGATTACATCCACAGGCACCTATCAGCGGGTCTTGCTTGTAGCCCTCAGATTACATGAGGACTATTAAGGTTATGGGTAGTCAGAAGACATCACACCTCTCTGAAGCGCATGCCCTGTTGGGGGCTCCACCAGCCCGACCTGATCTATTTGAAATGTGTTCGGAAGGCCTCACAACCCCCTGCCCAGTGCAGCGCATCGGGGACGAGGAGTGGGCAAGGGCAGGGTCTGCCCTGG